GCCTTAGCGCACTGGGGGCAGCAGCAGCGGCTGCGTCTGGCCTCGGGAATCCCTTCCTCCACCCTGCAGGCTGCTCCGACCACGTTTTTCTGCCCATATTTGGCTGCGGGCAGCCCTGGGGCCAGGGGCAGGGGCGCCCCGCGGGCCTCTCCCTGTGCTGCCAGGCGGGAGGGAGCCGGACCTGTTCCCCTCCAGTCCCCGGAGAAGATTCTCCCAGATGTTTTTGTGGTCGAAATGTTTGCCTTGTGTTGAGAACACCTCCCCTGCGGCTTCGGCGTTCACGCACCACCCGCTGCTTTCTCGGCCTTCCTTCCGGGGAGGATAGGCTCGGGAGTCCCGAAAAGCCTCAGGAGGTTTGTGTGCCAGGTGTAGGGGCGCCTACCTGTGACCGCAGCGACTGGGAAGCGAAGGCAGCAGGCCTGTGGTCTGAGCCCAGCTTGGCCAGCTTAGTGTGTTAGCCAGACCCTGTCTGAAATTTTAAATTAAAATAGGCTGCGGATATAGCTCAGTGAAACGCCTGGGATCGATTCCCAGTACTTTTGTTGAGACAGGGTATGGCTGTGTAGCCCATGCTGGCCTTGAACTCAGTGATCCTCCTGCCTCAGCCGCCAGAGCCCTGGGATCACAGGCGTGTACCCCACCGGCTTTCCCAGTACGATTTTAAAAGGAAAAAAAAAAAGCTGCAGGTCAACAGCCTCCTATTCCCTCTTCCCAGGGTCGAGTTCCAGAATAAATTCTACAGCGGGACTGGCTTCAAGTTCCTGCCCTTCTCTTTCGAGCACATCCGGGAAGGGAAGCTGGACGAGTGAGCCCCAGATGGTGTCCCCTGCCGGCTCCTCGCCCGCCCCTCGTCGTGCCCCTGTGTCTGTGACCGTACTCTGCCGTGTCCCGCGTGGACGAGCCCGCCTGCTGCTGCCCGGGTGTGTCCAGCAGGAGGCCCTCCCAGTTCAGCTGCTGCCGCCTCTGCCATGGGGATCCGCCCGCCCCCGTCCCTACCCTGCTCAATAAACTGTGTGGACCCCGGGCCGCCCCACCGCCGCCGGCAGAATCTCACCCTGTCCTCCTTTGCTGTGGCCTTGGCACTGGATGGCGGGGGGTGGGGGGAGGCTTTTCACTTGCTGCTCCTCTCCCCCTCCGCACAGTGCCCAGGGCCAGGGCACCTCCCTCTGCACGCCCAGCCGCTTCCCAGCTGGGCTATTTTGAGCCTTGGTGCCCTTGGCCCAGGGCGGCAGCTCGGACACTGGGCGGGGCCCTGTCCACACTCACAAGGGCTCCGGGAGCCTCTGCCCACGCCGCGGGACAATGAGACCTCCAGGGCTGCCTGGTTTCAGCAGAGGGCGCAGAGCTGTAGGGAGAGGGCGCCTCCACGGAGGGACCAAGAGGCAAATCCGAGAGGAGTCAGGGCCCCAGATGCGAGCGGCAGCAGAAGAGGGAAAGTGTGGTTGCGCCTGACTCTGACAAAGCTCAGAATTTGGACCCTGGAGATGGCTCGGGGGCAGAGGTGTTCAGATCTGATATTGGGCTGAATAGTGATGGCTTTTTTATGACCTGCAGAGGATTTGAACGGGTATTTCTCCACATAAGTTACACGAGTGGCCAGGAAACCGTGGAAAGATGCTCAAGTCGTTAGTCATTAAAAAAGTGCAGATTTGAGTCCAGCGTGGTGGTGCACACCTGTCATCCTACCACTCAGGAGGCTGAGGCAGGAGGTTTGCCTCGAGTTCGAGTTCGAGGCCTGCCTAGGCTATATAGTTCGTTCAAGGCCAGCCAGCTAAACAGGTGACCCTGTCTCAAAAACAAAGACAAAATGCAAATCAAAACCACAGCGAGGGCAGGAGATTTAGCTCAGTGGTTCTGCCACCTGTCTCCCAAACACAAGGACCCGCGTTTGATCCCTTGAACAACAACAACAGCAAAAATAGTGAAGAGCCAGGTGTGGTGAGGCAGCCTGTACTCCCAGCACTCAGCCAGGCAAAGGCAGGAGGATCAAGAGTTCGAGACCAGCCCAGGCTACAAGATGAGCCTCTTGTCTCAAAAAATGAACAAAACACACACACACCCAGGGGTCAGCAAGACCCCAGGGAGGGGCTGGAGGGGCCTAGACCTTGCATCTCTTTGGGATAGGATCCCAGGTTCCCTTGCAACAACAGTCAGGTTCTCTGGCAGTCGACGAACTGCACTTCCATGTTAGCCTCCCATATTTCTGTGCAAGTTCCTTGTGACCAAAGCTGTGTACCTGGGTACAAAAGCAAGGACAGCTGGGTTTTCAGAGCTCACAGATGGCCTAGAATGTGGTGATGTTTTGTTTTTCTTTGAGACAATCTCTCTGTGCAGTACAGGCTGGCCTCGGACTCATGGTGATCCTCCTGCCTCAGCCTCCCGGGTGCTGGGATGGTAGGCGTGTGCCATCATGCCCACTGGATACGATGCCTCACGTCCCAGTGCTGTTTTTCTCAAGCTGGGCGCCTGGTGGTCGGGTGCTGGGTACCGTACCGTCCCATACGCCATTGGCTCCTGTGCCACACGGAGAGAACAGGCGCGGGGAGCTCTGCGTCAGCATGTGCTGCAGGATCTGAAAAAACGGGGACTCCGGGTGCAGGGGTGCAGGACGAGTGGGCACTGATCGGTGGTGAGTGTTGTCTGCTGAGGGAAGCGCTGCTGAAAGCAAAGGACTAGTTCTGTTCCTGCTGCCCGGCACATAGCAGATAGTCAATGCTGAGTAACAGTAGATATAATTGCTTTTAAATTCCCTACAAACACAAACAGCCCAGTGCCCGCCCGCGGTGCAGGGTGGGGCCGCCCAGGGTCTCCGCTCGCC